TCATTGATTTTGATTTTATACACTTTCTTTCTTTCACATCTTCTCAGAGATAAACACTACATACTACTCGGCTTAACAAAACATATACTTGCTTTCTGCAACCAACAATGCGTGTAGAGTCATTCCTTCATAGATGGACGCTTACAGCAATCGTAGCGAGCAAACATGGCATGAATTATTCACACCCTAAAAACTACCTAGTCTGAAATGACATTTCATCATTTTTTTGAGGTTTTATAGGCTTTCTACATAATAGCCGGTTTTGATCTAGCTTCCTCCAATCGACTTTTATCATAGAAGCTTTGGGTAATGATGACGGTGTCAAACATACAAGTCAAATTTTTTAGCGCACACCATGAAGACCGACAAGGTCATAAGTGCACTAGAAAAGATTGATTAGATGACAGATTTGTTAATCAGTGATATTTTGATGGCAGATAATGGAAAATGCATATTGAACATGTTTCAATTTATAAAAGGGAATTAGGAGTGGATCTATCAAAAGTTCGGTGTTAGTTGTGATAAAAGTCGATTAGAGAAAGCTAGTAGATCAAAACCTTCTCATCATAGTCTGACTCATGGGGTACCACACATTTGATGAGTTAGGTACTAACTGGAAAATATAAACCAAACTGGTTGAATTTGCTGCAAACTCCGAGGACTTCGAGCCATCTATCTTCAAGATGAGATTTCAGAAAAACTTCCTTACCTAATCTTCCAGCTCATCAAAACGAGATTATCGGTTATATAAGTTCATTGTTTAAACAATGGTATATGGTATAAACAAGGTCTTTCGTATTTGACTCTGAATCTTTTTTTCTATTGAAAATCATTTCATACGTTTAGTATTTCAAATATCATATTCCCAGCTTCTGGCATATCCCGTGGTATATTGCTACTGGTGTTGGAACAAAAGTGCTCAGTCTCTACTAGACACCTAGTCTATGAGCTCATGTATGACAAAATTATTTATTTGTTAACGGGTGTAAAATGTTGGTTATTCAATTTTGGTCACTCGGATAAGGAGAAATGTCTAGATGTTAATCCAAAGTCCCTTTGTGATAAATCTTCAAAACGTAGATCCATTCAGCAGTGCGATGGATGAGCACAGATGAGCAAATCTCACAACCACTGCAGAAGCAAATACCTATAAAACATCTGGAAATGGAAGAAATTTACGATTGGTGTTTATTCATTATTCTTATATTTTCAAATAAGTCTGATCTACCTAAACTATTTCCTTCTAATACTGCCTGGTTGCTACTTGTTACAGATTGTAAAACAGTTTAGTCGAATTTATGAAACTTGTTTAATCAAGTCAAGACGCAATGGTTTAATTAAATTTCTTGAATCGTTTACTTAGATTGAGTACAGCAATTTGCTTGAAATTAATGAAGTATTAAAACGCGCTTATTTGATCCACTTCACAGCTACTACACCAACAACAGCAACATTGGAATATGAGGCTCCTCGCAAAAATCACAAATGAAAATGAGGAGAAGCCCGCCTCCGACAGTGCGACTGTCGCACACTCCCGATCATTCCCGAATGAAGGGCCAAGTCCGCGAATCAAATGAACAATTTAACTGTTTTTATTAAAATGTTTAAATGTTATAAATGTACCTTTTCTACTTGAACTAAATTACATACATGATTTGCTGTTTTCAAGCAAATCAGTATAATATTCCAGAAAATTCAGTTTAATTGAACCGAATACTTAGAGCAGAGTTCCCCAAACTTTTTTGTGTCGTAGACCCCTTGCCACGTTTTTCCGTGTTGGGTAGACCCCCTACTTACCTGATATTGATTTCCTGTAAATTTCTAACTGTAGTGAAGTTTAGTGTTAAAAACATAAAGTAAAAACACATGTTAATTTATACATTTATTAATTGAATTTAAATTACAACTACTTAAAATAAAATTTTGTATCTGTTATGTAAAATATACGTAACATTAAATAAACAGGTGTCTGACCAATAAGTGCCCGCATTAGGAATAAGTGCACCCATTGAAAAAAAAATAAGAGGGATAAAATAAAAAAAAGTGAAAAATAATAAAAAAAAAGTTTTTTACTTAAAATAGTGCAATAAGCGAGTTCGTTTATTAATTATAACATAAACGTACGTTCTACAATAATTTCACTGTTAGTTTGATTAAATTCCGCTTCTTATACGTTTAAGTTATCTAAAAATATGCAAAGAATTAACGAACTTTAGTGTGTACCTATCCTTGAATTTTCAGAATAATTAAAAAAAGATATTTTCTATAAAGGGGGGTTCTTTAAAAAAATCAATGCGGGCGCTTATTCCCAATGCGGGCATTTATTGGTCAGACACTAATAAACATAAAATAAACTATAAATAAAATAACATAAGTCAATATTTTTCCACTAGGTATGACGATGGAAATATTCCATAATACGGGATAAGTAACGGGTATGTTGTTTTGCAGCCAGAATTGCTGATATCCGTTTTTAAACTGAACCTTAAGTTCTTCGTTTGTACTTAGTTCAGTCAGTTCCTCTTGTATTATGACATTCGTTTCTTCTATGTCACCATATGGATTAATTATCCACGGTGGTATTACCATAGTCAAAATATCCTCAAACCTAGATTCAAAATCTGAATAGAGGGCATTTAAATGTTGAACGTAAGTTGAAACGTCGTCTTCCTGGCAGCTTGTCTGTGACAAATTGGGGAACTGAGAAAATTCGACCCGTACAATATTTTGGTTCATTAGTTTAACTCTGGCAAGAAACGCTGATAAGATTGACTTTGTTTTAATCAAATTTAAACTGTCGCCTTGTAATTGCAAATTAACCATATTAAATTTTGTAAACAAATCTGTTAAATAGGCGATGTCTGTTTTCCTCTTCATTAAATTTTCTTTTAAAATTTTTTCTATAGTATCCAGAAATTCTAAAATAGTCTCAAAAAGTGCAAAAAATCTTGTCAAACATAAGCCTTTCGACAGCCAGCGTACTTCAGTGTGAAGGAGTAATTGATGAAAATGCTCGTCATTTTCTTCACACAACTGCGCAAATAACCGCGTATTCAACGCGTTGCTTCAGATTCGGTTTACTGCATCAATGACTAAATGAAGTGATTCATGCAATCTAACACTCAAATGTTTAGCAACTAAATGTTGTCGATGGATGACGCAATGTATTGCTAACACCCCTGACACATTTTGTTTTAAATAGCTTATAAATCCACGATAACGTCCAACCATGGCAGGTGCTCCATCTGTAGCTACTGATATTATATTTGATAAAGGAATTGTTTTTTCAATGAAGTAATCCTTCAAAACATGAAATATTGATTCACCTTTAGTGTCGGTTATCAAAGTTCTTGCGAAGAGCAGTTCTTCGTAGATGTCTTGATTCATAATAAAACGAACATATGCCAATAATAATGCTGCATTATCAGGTAAAGTTGACTCATCCAGTTATATAGAGAAATGGGTCATTTGCACATAATTACATAAGAAGCTTTCAATATCAGAACTCATTTCATCAATACGTCTTTCAACAGTATTGTTGCTTAAGGGAATTCTTTTAATGATATCAGATGCAGGTTTGTGTAAAACAGTTTTTAAAACCTCTTCAACGGCTGGCAAAATTAACTTCTCTCCGATAGTATGCGGTTTTCCGGATTTTGCTATAAGTCACAAGATATTGTAAGATGCCCGCAAACCATCATCATTTCTTTGTGACGTCGAAGCGAACATTCTGTCCAGTGTAGGTCTCGTCTGAAATTTATCTTTGAGTGTTTGAAAGTATTTCAAATCTTTCTCTGATTTATCAAGGTGGCATCTTCTCAGATAATCTTGCAGTTTAGATGGTTTCATAGCGTCATTGCCCAAAACTTTGTTGCATAAAAGGCACATAGGCGATTGTTTGTCCGGCAATGATGGAATGAAGCCAAATTTCAAATAATCAACACTGTACTGTCTACATTTCTTTTTAGATTCGGACATGGCATCAGTCATCTGTGGGCAAAATTAAATTATTTAAATAAGACAGAAAATCCAGCAGCTGTATATTAAAAATATTTTTTGATTTTTCCGAAAACATTCCATAATTCGAACATCTTCTTGCAATAATTAGCTCGAATTACGGAGATTGCACTGTAATTATATTATCGATTGCTGAAACTTTCAAAAAGAAACTATTGAGGAGTACTCGCGTAATTTTGCATGATTGAATATTTAACCACTAATAACTAAAGTCATGATTGGCGTAATTTATCTATCTTTGCTAACTACGAGTACAAAACTAAAATTTAATAAAAAATAATGTACTTACTTTTCTCCAGCACTCTCAAACAAAATAACACTGACTCACTATAATTTGTGTGATATACTATCTGTTTATATTTTTTAAAACATTTTCTTAGCACTTTCCTTTTCAAGATTCAGGAAACGAATAAACGTATTTGTCCCACATTCGTATTTATAGAGTGACGAATTGAACAAGTCAGTGCAAGGTAGCGAAGCTCTGAGACTGCGACTCTCAGGTTTTTACAAGTTCAAAATGTATTGCGACCACAAACCGAATACCAACATCCTACAACTTACACAATTTTATAAATATATATAATAAATTTTTTACTTCATAGGTACTTTTATAAATAATGTATATGTTTTGATATTATAAGATAGTATGATGTAAGTAAATAGGTTTCATGGCCCCTCAAATTTTTTTTCGCTGACGTAGACCTCTTGCAGGTTGTCATAGACCTCTAGGGGTCGATATAGACCACTTTAGGAATCAACGACTTAGAGTAATTAAAAAAATTGTTACGTGTAATGAAAATTTCTCAGAACAATGTTTTCTCAATGCGTCATTACTATTTCATAAAATAAGTCTGATTCACTTAAACGATTTCCTTCTCGTACTGCTTGGTTGCCTCTTGCTTTGTTTTCCCTAACTGGAAAAACACTGAGTAGAATAATATCTTTTTTGCACGCCAATGTCTAAGTTGTTTGTTTCTTTCCAGTGAAATATGAACATGGTCCATTTGTCGGTGATCCCTTTGGCTGTGTGGTGGAGTCTCTTGGGAGTTGCATCCGCCGTTAATCCGTTCGAGAATGAGATCGATTCCGAACAACATGACACACATCATCCGAATCCAAAGGCTCCCGCTAGCGAACTTTTCGGTAAGTATATAAAAGTAAGACTTGATCGATACGCAATCCAAAAGATGGAGGCTTTAAATATGAATGATTCTGAAATGTTATCTGAAGTTGAGTCTATATCCAAATCTACTAATCCTAATTGCCGCTTCATCAACAGAACGAAATTTTGAGCTTTTCACTTTTTTGTTGGCTGGTAATACTAAACTCCTAAGTGAAGAACAATTATTATAGACAAAAGATCATAAAGTTCAATGACCGCGTTTATCAATTGTTATGCTCTATCCTTATATTTGGCGAAAACTAGGTGGCTAGAGGAGATTAGGGGATTGGGAGTAATCTTTTGCCGTGGGTGTGCCTAGCGATGAGAAATACATTTGGACCAAATAGAAAAAAAAAACATACAAACACCAAACTCGCGAGCTAATAGACTACAGTATATTCAGATAGGAGATAGACCGGACATAAACAAGACCACGTGATCATCGAACGCTGTAACATTCGGCAGGGACGTATTAAGAGTCACGCAGTACATATTTTAGATAGTAGATGCTGCTTTGCGTAACTTTGTAGTAAATTAGCACAATTCGATGTGTATACGATTGGTGATGGATATAGGATCATGTGGGGGTGGGGTAAGAAATATATAATGATGTAAATATACATAAGGGTTTCAAAATTTTCGCTTCGATTTCCAGCTTCGGATGCCGCCTGATGTTTGGTGAAATACAGTCGAATATAATCTCAAAATGGCGTTTAAATTAGCCTAAATTAAAAATAATCGTATATCTCTTAAAATTGCTTTTAGAATATTGATTAGTATATTTTTTGATTTCTAAGTAAATATGTAACCAAATTAAAACGTTCAAAACGTAAAAAAATGTGCATGGTTGAACATTGTCAGAAAGTAGATTCTTGAATAGGTTTTGCCAAAATGGGTTCAAAAATATCAATAATTAATTAAAATATACAGTAGCTTTATAATTACTTATAACTTACCGAATTTGATGAACGACATCTTTTATTGGAAAGATGAGCTTGATGAGCTTTCATCATCGCTACTGCCTGAAGCACCAACGTCAATAATGAATGGCTCGACTTGTTCCTCTAAAATATTGTCTAGTTCCCACATTCTCTTTTCAACTTTGTCTTTCACGTGCTTAATACAGTTTTCCCATTTTTGCGCTGTTATTAATTCTAGTGCTTCTTTGAAAAGTCCTTTGAGGTCACAAAATTTAAAAGTTGTATTGTGCTTAGCTATATAATTTTTAACCTCTGCCCATATGAGCTCAATGGGATTGAGCTCGCAATGGTATGGAGGTAAACGGAGCACAGTTTTATTTTGACTTGCTGCCATTTCGTCAATGGCGTATTTTTGATATTCCGCCTTGTGATCCTTGACAATTCTTAATAATTGTACTTTCAGCATTGCTTCTTCAAAGTTGATATTTTTCGAGCGGAGCCAATTTTGAACATCAACTTTCCTTGAAGCCGTTGTTAGGACCTTCTCCATTCTTCGAGAATGATAAGGCGCATTATCCAACACAATTACTGCGTTTTCCTCTAAGTTCGGTAAAATTTTTGAAAACCATTGTTCAAACGATTCGCCATTCATTTCCTCGTGGTAATCTTCAGTTTTCTTAGACTCAAAGCACCACAGACCGTCAACAACAAATCCATCCTCACTGCCAATATGGCAGATAATGAGCCTTTTCCCTTTACTTGGAAATCGAAGTACTAACTGGTGTAGATTTATTTCAATAAGCGAAACTTTTTCAAATGTTTTCATCACATTCAGCGAAAAAACATTGAGACATGAGTATCAGATTGCTATAATTGGGATTATTTAGTCATATTGAAAGAAAGAATATTGAACGTCGTATGATTACTCAGCGCTTCACAATTTAATTTAAAGTTATAAACCTTTAAAAAATGAATGATCAGGAACCTGAAATATGCGCAAATATTAATATTAACAAATTATAACTTTATAAAGCTTAAAGTATGAATTAAAATGATTAGAAATATTAGGAACGGTACACAATATAAAACTTAGTAACTTTTTTTAAGTTTATAATATTCGACATATTTTAAGATTATATTAAAAAAATATTGAAATATCGAAAACACATAAAAACATGGCTTAAAAAAGTTCTAACAAATGAAAATGACAATAAAACATCCACGCATTTTATCGAAAGTTATAAAAGTTTTGTTACTTGTATTATGTTTTATCTGCCCCCTGGAATTAATGTTTAGAACCTTGTTCCCAAGGTTTGAAAAACATCCGATTGTTGTCTATTTTACTCGTATTTACCTGCTGGATTTTTTAATCCGGTGGACAGTCCATCTAGAAAGGCCCTCCTGGATGAAGTTACAGAATCATCAACCCATACTTTACTTGTAGTGTGTCCTGCGTTTACCCACGTTTCATCAAGGTAATAAATCTTCCTGTTTTGATTTCTATATTTCCCAATTTTTGTTAAATAATCCCTCCTCCATAGCACAATTTCTTCTCTATCCAGTAGTAAACTATTACGACCCCGTTTTTTCCATTTGAAATTTAAATGCTTCAGTAACGCATGGAAAGTTGATCGTTTGAAATTTGGCAACGTTGTATCTCCATTTACCTCCTGCAGTACTTTATCTATAGTAGGTATTTCATTCCTAAAGAAGAATTCATGCACTTTCCTCCTAATCGCATGCTTATCAGCTTCATCCAATGATTTAACAATACTTTTGCGATGTTTACTGGTCATTGGCTCAGAAAAGGTGTGATTTTTTTTGTATTGTCTTAACACATTAAACACTGATGCGCGACACACCCCAACTTTGCGAGAAACCTTCACAACAATTTCTTTGATGGTTGATGCCTCGTTCTTCTCGCGCTCGATCTTATATATATTCAAAATGACCTCTTTCATTTCTGCACTCAGGTGTCTTTTTTTAGAGCGTTTCCTAGGTGGACTACAGGAGTTTACAACTTCATCGGCAGTATCTGTACTACTGGGCATTTTGCGCAAGCAGTTGATAACAATAACAATCAATAACAAGGTATAACAATAACAACGACAAACTCAACAACTTAATAAGATAACAAACGAAAACGTCAAAAGAAATATCAAATTGCAATGATGCACACGACATACGTAACACGTCTGAACCTGAATGTGACTCTGCCTTGATACGACTGTTCTGCCGCTCGGCATAGGCATTTAATTGCGAATTGACCAATGAGGGCTCCTGTTTTACGTCGAGACGGCGGCGTTAGCGTGAAAATCACCCGAACCTTTTGTTTACATCCGGTCTATCTCTTATCTGAATATACTGTAGTTGACACTTTTTTTAAGTAGGTCTTAAATAGAATATTAGTTCTATTAGACCAAAAAAAGTGATACTATAATTTTTTTAGACCTAAAAGACCGTAAAACTTTATTTCAAAAATATAGACTCTTAAACATATAAACATGACTTCTACTAGCTTACCTGAAAAATATAGTAATTATTGTTATTGTATCGTCCGAGAATGTAGAAACACATCCATAAAGACCCCAGGCAAGCTACGGATCAGAGTGCCCAGGCAAATACGCAACGCTGTGTATTGCTTGGAGCATACCTTATCATCGGGACATACAGGGTCCGTCAGAAAGAACGCATGCTTTTCGAATGGGTACTACATCGAGTGGGCTGGTCCCGTGTCGGTGGGGAAGGGCGTGTTGGATAGTGGGAGAAGTGCCGCTTCAGTTGGCGAGATGGTTTGGAACGTTGAGCATCGTGTGTTCACTGTACGTCGGTACTTTCAAAATGGCGTTCGAACGCAACGTGAGTTTCGCGTTAACTTTAGTGGGACAGGACCAGACCGTAACACCATTTTGAGATGGGTGGAAGCATTAACACAAAAGGTAATGTGATAAAGAAAAAACCGCCCAGGGCGAAACCGTACTGTTAGAACCCCCGAAAACGTAGACAGAGTGAGACTTGACACGCTGCAAAGCCCGAATCGTTCCGTCCGTTTGCGTGCCAGTTCCCGATCCACGCTTCCTCTGTACGTCGCATCTTGAAGAAGGATTTAGTATTCCATCCTAACAAAATCCAAGTTTGTTAACAACTGTTGCCAGGGGATTATGCACAACGTGTTAATTTTGCACAGCTAACGATTGTCGATATTGGTCTCCAGTGAACCCCTTAACAGTTGCATGAGCACCCCCTGCATACCCCGAAAGTTACAGTTTAGTGTGTAGCAGGCCCAACGATGATTATTGGCCCTTATTTTTTGAGAATGATGGAGAAACAATTCCCATGACGTCTCATTTCACGGCATGGCGATATTCCATGGCCCCCTCGCTTCCCGGACCCGTCAACGTGGGATATTTTTATGGGGCTACCTGAAATCAAAAGTTTACCAAAGCAAGCCTCGGACCCTCGTCGATTTGAAGGAGGAAATAAGAAGAGAAGTAACCGAAATTCCTGCACGGATACTGGCCGATGCAATGGGCTCATTTCGCTAGAGGCTTGATTCCTGCATTTCGGCTCAAGGGCGCCATGAGGCCGACAGTTTTTAGAACGTAAATTTTGTTTTACTCAAAAAAATGGCATGTATTTCTGAGTAATTTGATATAACAAAATATTTTTTCCCATACTTATTTTGACTGTACTACTCGTTTAAAAAATATGCGTTCTTTCTGATGGAACCTGTACTTTACATTTTACTGTGCATATTTTATCGTCTCGTTTAAGTTGGACGTAACCTGCGGCATCATCACAGTACGATTACCTTGCAGATGTTTAAGAAGATTATTCAGAGGTTATGACGCATGAGCTTAGTTTTGAATGACTTCTTGAAAGGAAGATTATATAACTGTATTACTCATTCTTTCTATTTATGTGTATCGTTATACCAGATACATTGTACTTAAACTAGAAGTTTCGATTTCACCAGCCCAGCAGATCAGAAAGCTGGGTTGAAGGCAAAAAAATTACCAATTATCAATGTGTTAATTTTCGACAAATTTGTGTGCTTTTACGAATCCAACCTCCTTTATTGTCAATAAAAACGAGAAAGCGATAACTTTTTAAACTTTGTAGGTTGATTAGGAGTTCTTTAGAAACACTTAAAGAAGACAATGTTAGTCCACGAACGACATGCGGATGACGTTTCATTCGACTTATATATCCATCTTGCGCTTTTAAAAACTGAAATCCATATATTTCGTTTTCCTAAGAAATAAACATTTATTTTATGGATATGAGTCAAGTAACCGTTTCTTTATTTACAATTTGTATGACGTCACATCATGGCCAAACGTCTTTTCACTAATTTATACTGAAAATTAACAATATATTTTTTTAAATTCGACTTATATATCCATCTTGCGCTTTTAAAAACTGAAATCCATATATTTCGTTTTCCTAAGAAATAAACATTTATTTTATGGATATGAGTCAAGTAACCGTTTCTTTATTTACAATTTGTATGACGTCACATCATGGCCAAACGTCTTTTCACTAATTTATACTGAAAATTAACAATATATTTTTTTAAATTCGACTTATATATCCATCTTGCGCTTTTAAAAACTGAAATCCATATATTTCGTTTTCCTAAGAAATAAACGTTTATTTTATGGATATGAGTCAAGTAACCTATTTAGCATTATTTAGCAAGTCTATGAGTTATCTCCGAGTCTGTCACGGATTGCAATCAAGAAAAATAAAAAAAAATATAAAAAACGGCATGTGGTCCCAACAACCACACTGGTAGATAAGAAAAATATTGCGTCAAAGACGTGTACAAAACAGCGGGACGATCTCGGTTAACTTTGTTAAACGAGAAAAAAGTTCTACATGAAGTTTACAGATTGAGCCTTGAACCTATGAATATTTGATAATTCTGCTGATATTGGTTTTCCTAACTCATTAAAATTAGCTACGTAACCTAACTGTACATAATAAAATTACCCTACAAGGGTCATTTCTAAGTTTCCTGGCCTGATTTATTTTTATTTCCAAATGTTTTTTAACATAGAAACAATAATCTTCCCAACCAGTGGCGTAGCTACCTTGGGTTGCACCCGGTGCAGAAGTTGGTGGTGTCACCCCATCGAAAATGAAAAGCAATAAATTTTATATGATTTATAAGCGTCATGAAACATTTAATATTTATATTTCGAATATTGAACAAATAAAAAAACACAATAAAAACTAAGACAGCATAAATATTTTTATTTCACAATTAAAATCTCTTCTTTCTAGCTTGGACAGCTGCAAACTCAGAAATAACTTCCTCAAAATCTATATTTTGTGTTGCCTTGTGTTCGATGGCTAATATACCAAGATTGCTATGCCGCGATTGGGTCATTCTTGCCCGCAAATAGTTTTTTATTAATTTTAGTTTACTGAAACTCCTTTCACATGAAGCTACGGACACGCAAACCATCATGAACAATTTTAGTGCAATCATAAGATTTGGAAGAGATCCTGTAAAATCCCATTCTACAATAAACTTTAAAAAAATCTAGAGATTCCCAATCATGAAATGTAACATTAGCGGCTTTTAAGTGTCTCCGCAGTCTTGGTATCTCTTCTGTTTCTTTTTTATCACTACACGTTTAACAATTCATGGCAACCAAACACAACACACTTCACGAAACAAATGAGAAATGGTGCAACTGAGATGTCAAGCTGTGCTAACGATTTAATTTTTTTGGTTGTACATTGTTCTTGAAATTGAGCCACTGGGTGTGTGTCATCCGGTGCGGCCGCCCCGCCGCCCTCTTGCTACGCCACTGTTCCTAACAACGAAAAATTTGGGTAGAGTAAAACCAATAAAAAGTAGACACTCTCTTATATTTTATGAATTAATGTACTTCCTGATTGGTTTAGAAGTGAACTGTGAAATTATTTAATATTTTCAGAACCGCTTCAGATATTTCACTGATATTTAGTAAGTAGTGAAAGTTAATAAAGTTGCATATTCTTAAAATGCAAAAATAATTTTTAGCTTTAACAATGGCGTGCGTACGGGTATTGACTTCGATATTTCTCAAGAAAAAAATGGTACGCCAATGGTTTTTTGCCAAATAAAAATTATTTTTGAATTTCCCATGCAATTTAAAACGAATGATCTCTCCTGAGTTGTTTTTCTTTGATGCGCCATTTCTGAGCAAAAAAGCTAAAACCGTTCTATTGTCTAACCTACAAAATTATTATTAATTTAATTGGAAAAATTAAACACATTAGGGGTAATGAAGAAGAACAACTGACAACATAGAAATAACATTAAAACCAACGAAATGATTACAGAAATTGTTGAAAATGGCCCCCTTCACTTAGTATGCATGCTTCCGCCCTCCGTCTCATGGAGTTGCGCACTCGTTGAAATATTCCTGGAGTGTTTTTTATTCTATCAAAAGCTGCAACTATTCTTTCTCTGAATTCCTCTACGGTGTTAATTAGGCTTGTGTACACTAGTGTCTTAAGATAGCCCCACAAAAGGAAATCTACACTGTTGAGGTCTGGGGACCTTGGTGGCCATTCTTGGGACCCACCGCGGCCAATCCAACGATTTGGATAAACAGTTTGTAAATAATTACGAACCGCTATACAGAAATGCGCTGATGCATCATCATGCATGTACCACATATTGTTTCTTATTACTAACGGAACATCATCAAGCAGCAACGGCAACTGTTGTTGAAGAAAATTGAGGTAAGTCTGTCCGTCAAGTCGTCCCGGCAAGAAGAATGGGCCAATAAAGTGGTTGCCAATAATTCCTGCCCATACGTTAACCGAAAATTGGTGTTGGAAATGGGTTTCGGTTACGGCATAGGGATTTTTGTCTGCAGACAAATGATTATTGTGGAAATTCTGAATGGCATTTCGAGAAAAATTAGCTTCGTCCGTGAACAGAATCATTGATTCACATTGCCGATTTAGTGTAATTTTTTTAAGATACCACTGATAAAAGGTCACACGCTTTGGAAAATCAATGGGAAGTAATGCGTGTACTCTTTAAATACGGTAAGAATATAACAAAAAATCCACTAAAGTTCTCCAAACAATTTGATAGCAAATATTTAAGTGCCTAGCGATCTTCTTCGTACTCGTTTCAGGATGTTCTTCGACTTCGTGCAGTACTGCTCTCCTCAATTTCAGACCTCACACTTAGAGGTCTACCTTCAGATGTTCCTTTTCGGACAGAACCAGTTTCAACAAGACGATGATGAATATTAGAAAAGGTTCGACTATCTGGCAAAGCACGATCGGGGTATCTCTGGTGATAAATCCGTCTGGCTTGCTCACCATTACCGTCGGCAAGGCCATAAGCGTAATGCATTTCCGCCATTTCTGCATTTGAATCATTCACCATTATTAACAAGATTGTAAAAACTAAATAATGAAAAAGTGTCACAGCGAACTCATTTGAATAACAGAGACTTATCAGATGTCAAAAGCCAGTGACATATTCCAGGGCAACTGGATACTTATTGTTTAATTGTATTCTTCAATTATTACATTAATTTTCTCGGACAATAGAACGGTTTTTATTTTTTTTACTCAAAAATGGCGCATCGAAGGAAAACAATTCAAGAGAGATCATTTATTTTAAATTGAACGGATAATTCAAAAATAATTTTTATTTGGTAAAAAACCATTGTCGTACCATTTTTTTCTTAATAAATATCGAGGTCAATACCCGTACGCACGCCACTGTTATGGCTAAACATTATTTTTGCATTGAAAAATATGCAACTTTATTAACTTTCACTACGTACTAAATATCAGTGAAATATCTGAACCGGTTCTGAAAATATTAATTATGTCCATTTTTTTCCTAAAACTTCAACACCCCCAGTTTTTGTAAGGAAACACTTTTGGACCATAGTCTATAAAGCCAACTAACATTAATTTTTCATGTAGATTCTCACCCTTGAATATTTGCATATCATTAAGGAACACCCTTAATGATATGCAGAGGAACACCCTCTGTATATGAATAAGGATGATATTTTTGTTCATTGGTTCAGAATTGTGGGTTGACTACTGTCACATTTTTCATCGATCAGATGCGTACACGGATACGATTCTGTTTACGAGCAATAATTAAAACAATGTAGAGGATGGAGCAGTGGCGGCCGGTGGCTGTGAGAAATGGGGGGCTATTGTAGGGAAGGGTGGCCTGCCGCAGTCACCGCCGGAGGCAAAGAATTTTTACGGTGCCACGCCCAAAAACTTCCATTTTGAGCCTTCAAATTCAAATATACATTTTTAGAGCTATAATTTTTTTTGCATTTTTTATGTCCTGATTTTGTGGATGGATCAGTTGGCAATCCTATACCTATATATTTTATGTACAGTCCTCTGTATAGGAACAAACATATTTTAGGTACGAGAACTTATCGCAAAAGAAAGCAGCATCTAATATGAAAGCAACAGAGCATCTATTATCAAAAGAACAACAGTACTCAAAAGTATAGTTTTTCACTTTCTTACAACACATGTAACTATAAATAACTGGAAAAGAGAACAGAAATACGGTATACCTAAATGTATTATTGTATTATAAACGACTAAGTATACCTACCTACAGCTAGAGCAAACATTGTGTTTCAACTGTCACACTTCACACTTCTATTTATTACAAAATATTTTTTAATGTTTATATGTAAAGTCTAATCTTCTGTCTTTCTGTGAAATAAAATGTTCCATCACTTTTTCGTCGAAATTGCTGATATTATGTACCAGATTCTTATTAACAGACATCATTGCCAATGCATTCAGTCGTTCATTGCCCATCGAGTTTCTTAAAAACGATTTTATCCTCTTAAGGGTTGAGAAACAGCGCTCTGCTTCGGAAGTTGACATGGGAGTAGTTATAATTATTTGCAACAACTTAGTTACTTCGCTAAAAGTTTCCTCTAGGTTGTTATTAGTCAGTAGGGACAGCAAATTCAAACCACCTGTAATATTTTTGAAGTCTTCCCTCATGTACATTACTTCTAATTCGGTTTTCAGTTTTTCTTTATTTACCATTGGATAATAAGTCACAACTGAATTCAGTATTTTTGCTGGAAAATATCTCGAATAGTTTGTGAAGTTTTGTGTATCTAATAAAGATGCAGCTTCTAGATGACCCCTGTAAGAAAGTCTCTCTTTTGTCTGTACAATTATTATATCGCAAACTTCTTTTGCAATAATACAATTTCTTTCTTCGGGTCCTACTTTTCTGCGTTTATTTCCATTGTCTCCATGCTCATTTTCAACAGTTTGCTGTATATCCTCTGTAGTGTCCCTAATCAATACAATGGTCTTCTCAAATACGTCAATATCTTTTAAAAGTTGTACACTGTCTTTATTCCTACTTTGAAACTGGTTAAACAAAATAGCTACGTGCGGTAGGGTTTTGTGAAAAAAAGTCAAAAAAAAGATGAAATCAGAATCTTCGAGTGCTCTTCTTAAACCGTATGCCTCCTTACTAGTAATTGTTTTATCACATTTATTCTCTAACTCCCGGAAACAATCAATAAGACTTTCACGGTTCTCAAAAACGGCACTGACTGTGCGAATGTTATAATTCCACCGTGTTGGCGCAACCTTTGGCATTTTGGTTTTAACTATTTTTTCCAATAAATCGCATCTGTGCGTGGAGTTGGAGAAGAAACTTGGAATTGCCGACAGGTTTGAAGAAAACACTTTTACTTTTGGATTTTGGCTGGCTGCTCTCTGCATAATTAAGTTCAGTTGGTGAGCGTAACAGTGTATAAAATGAGCGTTCTGATATTTTTGTTTGATTTTTGTTTGAACTCCACCACTGCTACCGCTCATTACGTTTGCACCATCATAAGTTTGCGCAATTAATTTGTGGGGTGAATCTTTTAATAATGGGCCTAGTTCTTCTTCGATACACTTTGCCAAACCTTCAGCTGTCTTGTCCGTAACGCTCAAAAAACGCCAAAATCTTTCTTGTATTTCACCTTCATGGAGATATCTAAATATCATTACCATTTGACAATGATGTGAAATATCTGTTGTTTCGTCGCACTGTATAGCTAAAAACTCTGCTGCATTAATTTGCTGTCGAATTTCTTGTTGGCAGACTTCCAACATACTATCTAGTATTTCATTTTGTACTGTTTTAGAAGTACCCTTAAACAGAGTCGCACTTTTTAAATGTTCCTTTAATATTGTATCCAGTTCGGACGTAAAATTAATCAACTCTCGAAAAATGCCACGATTTTCAGAGTCTTCACTTTCGTCGTGCCCTCTTAACGCTAATTCCAATTTACCGCAAAACTTTATACAGTTTATTATTCTTTTTAAAAGATATCTATTTTTGTCCACTTGCTCGTTGTGCTTAATAATATTTTGCCTGTAAGCGGAATCTAACTGAGCAGCGATACTAGCTGTTCCCAATAAAGCTAATTCTGTCGAACAAATCATGTGACGAGCCGAATTTTCATGCTTACTAATTTTCTGGTTTATATGCTTTAAATCTTTAAATCCAGTTCTTGTCCATGTCTTTTCCGCTGCATCTGAATAAAACAGTAAGCACGGAAAACAAAACAGGGCGTTTAATGTGCCACAACCGCATATCCATTTGTTTTTCTTATAGATATCTTTCTTAAAATGTCTCTTAAAACAACCAGCTTTCGTCGATTTATCAGCCTGAGTAAGGTTGATATTTGGAATCGGCCTTCCAAGGGATTTTATTATTATTTTTTCAGCAAGCGGAAGCCGAGAAAATTCACCTTTTAACAAATTTTGTACTTCATTTGCCATTTTAAACTTTTTGAACGCCCGAACGACGGCACGGGGACGCGACGAAGCGATTTCGTACACACGTAAATCGGGACTGGCTAAAAATTATTTCGCCAACTCGCGTGTTAAAATCCCGTATAAAACTCGTAAGCGCGTGGGAGGTGTGACGTAGCGAGCCACTCAATCAGGTCGGCGATCGCGGCAAAAATTATTCTAGCCTCGAATCGATAGGGAATCTAGCTCGCGACTTCGGGGTATTGGGATCGGATAATATACAGGGTTATCCAAATTAAGTGTCCACCATTAGTAACTTTGTTATTAGTGAAAATACAAAGTTGTTTGAATTAGCAAACTAGTAGCATTTTTAACGCTGGTAAAAATGAGAAATAAAAAAAAACAATTGAGAGTCGTTATTTTGATTTTTTTCAGTAAAATAACATTTTTTTAAATGGAAACCCCTGTATATTATATTTTTTTCTGTTAAAGCATCAAATTTTAAACAAAAAAGCTTACAATAACTTTTCTCCTAGGTTACAAATTGTTGAAGTTATGGCCTCCAATCTGAAACAATTAAATTGTATCGAAAAACTTTATTTTCAACATCAACTTATAATCTTACAAAATACAATAACAATTTTTTTTAAAGAAGATGCTCGAAAACACCACCCTGTTCTTCAATACATTTTTGGGCACGTTTTTCAACTGCTCGAACTGTCTTAAGTATGGTCCTACCATCTATCTGGGTTATCTTTTCCCTAACTGCAGTCTTTAACGCGTCAAGGTTATCGTACCTTCGCTTGTAAATTTGGTTCTTTAAGTAACCCCACAAGAAGTAATCAAGTGGGTTTAGATCTGGTGATCTGGGAGGCCACTGTATTGGGCCATTTGTTCCTATCCACTGATCATTAAAAGTAGTACTTAGAAAATGATAAGTACCTCTGGAGTTGTGGGCAGGTGCGCCATCTTGCTGAAAATGCAGATGATGTCTACTTATAAGATCCAATTCGTCTAAGAAATTAGTCAGAATTTCTGACATAAATTCCACATATCTTTCACCAGTTAGGGTTCCCTCATAAAAGAACGGGCCAACAATTTTTGAACCAATTATACCGCACCAAACGTTGAAACTGAAACGGACTTGTGGGCCTCTTGGATGTACTAACAAAAGATTTTCTCTTGACCAATAATGGTGGTTTTTTCTATTAAACATTCCAGAATTTGAAAAATTTGATTCATCTGTCCATAAAAGGTAACGAAAGTTATTTACATTTTGGCGACAGAAGCTAAGATACCAATAGCAAAAAACAAGTCTTCTCTCTGGATCCCCTGCCAAAAGCGTTTGAACTGGTCGGTACTTATACGGAATAAATTTGTATTTTTTTAAAATCCTTTGAACAGTACCATAACTGAAATTAGAGTCCTTGAGAATATCTGCTATTGAATTCTCACGATAAGCTTCAAAATATCCAATAACTGCAATTTCCGTGGCCTCGCTTATTATGAATTCTTTTTTTGCCCTTGTTTTAGCAAAAACATTTTCGTTGCCCCTAAATTTTCGATAAAGTCTCAGAAAATATCGTTCATACGGTTGAATGCGAGCGGGATACTGTAGTATTCTCTTGCTCTCAAGGAGGATTTTCTGCACACTAAATAGCATTCTAACATATCACACTTTTCTTCATGGGAGAACATTTTTCTTTAAATTAATGACACAATAAAGCTTATAAACAAGTATTTACACTAATGTTTGACATTATTTGATTTTATCATTGTTTTCCAAAGCCTTCTAGTTGCGAGTATGTCCAGTTTAACAATTTGTCGCTTATCTTAATGCTGTCAAATCGCGAACGCCATGTTGTTTTCATAGCCGTCTTAATATTATAATACTGCAAATAATTAAAAATATTTATCGTTATTTTGACTTTATTTTTGACTTTAGCGGAAAAGTCATTATGAACTTTTTTGTTTAAAATTTGATGCTTTAACAGAAAAAAATATAATATACAGGGGTTTCCATTTAAAAAAATGTTATTTTACTGAAAAAAATCAAAATAACGACTCTCAATTGTTTTTTTTTATTTCTCATTTTTACCAGCGTTAAAAATGCTACTAGTTTGCTAATTTAAACAACTTTGTATTTTTACTAATAACAAAGTTACCAATGGTGGACACTTAATTTGGATAACCCTGTATATATATATATATATTGCGTGTTGCGTAACTGGCTACTATTAAAATTCAGGTTTTGATTGAATTTTCGTATATATCTGGAAATTATTTAATCACAAAATCATATTTTAAATTTTTTGTTAATTCGCATTTTGTCTTGGGGGGCTGTAGCCTTTTCGCCCCTATGGACCGGCCGCCACTGGGATGGAGGGTGCCAAGTGATCCGCAACTAAGGGTGAAGAACAACTCCGGATAGTACTCGTAGATGAGTCGCCAAGATTACCGAACTACAGAAACCAAACTTGTTACAATCAGATTTTTAGAATCCTTGGTCCAAGTGATAAAGAGTCCTTGTGGATTTCGCAAATCAGGAAAAGCAATTTGTTCATTTTTACAAGTAAACAGCTACTACCACACTAGTTTGTACGCCTGCATGTTGAACATTTTCTCACTGTTGCGCTTTGAGTTCGTAACTAGCCTGGATAGAGGAGCATTAGCTGTTAAATATCCCATATGTCCTAAAACTTTTGGCACAAAATATTTATCGGATTTTTTTTAATGAAGAAGTTTATTTAAACACTAACTAGTTCTCATAAATTACAACTCAATACTTAACTCTACTATCGAATTATGTGGAGTGGCCCATTATTCTGCTGTGCCGGGCGCAACTTTCTTCGAATATCTCTTATGAGGTCCTTGACGGAATTCAGATCAATTTCTCTCAGTTTTTCGTGAATTCGCCGTCTCAATTGCTTTTCATCTTGGTCTTCTCGGCCTCCATGATAAACCTTCCTAGACAGTAAAGCCCAAAAATTCTCTGTTGGGCGAGCCTGTAGCAGGTTTGGAGGATTATTGTTTTTGGGAACAAAAGGAATGTTGTGTCGACGAAGCCAGTTTTGTTATTTCTTGAGTAATGGCAAGATGCCAGGTCTGGCCAAAACATGATATGGTCATTGGCATGATGTTCGTGGACAAACTGAAGCAATCTGAAAAGGCAGTTGTCAGAATAACTGAATATTCAAAGCTTCACCTCTCACCCGTCCCACAAGGTTAGAAATTGCGCACCTGACAAGGATTTTATCTGCAAATTTCGCTTTATCTATATTGTCCGTATAAAAAAAATAACACTCACATCAAATATTTTCTGCTGTAACATTAAGGACAAAAAATTATAGGTATTAAACGTATTTGAGTGGAATTTTACATCAAAATGTTTGTATGAGCGAGATCTTTGCATTGGAGTAAAAATCTTCAACCGATTTAGTGATTAAATAAGAAAAACGCAGTTTGTAAAGTGATAATCAAGTTGTAATCCTCTGTTGGTATTATTTTTTTTTATTTCTCGAACTGTAACTTGATTCTTTGTTGGGACCTGACAAATAAGTGCTTAACGACATTCCATTGGCGTAGTATGTATGGAGAGATGAATATTTGTTCAAAATGTAAAAAGAACCTAACAGAAGACTACTGCCACTGTGATGTTTGTGGAGATGGAGTTCATACGGGGTGTGCTGCGCTTTCTAGCTCTGAAGGAAGATGTATGCCATGTATTTCAACGATGGTTCTGCTAACGGAAGAAGTAAACCAACAATTGGCCAACATGAGGAACATGGATCAGCCCAGTTTTCCTAAGCAAATCAGTAAATACAGTGAACTTGTTAAAAAATACTGAAGAAGTAGTAGTTATAAAACCAAAAGATACAAAACAAGATAGTTCAGTAACACAATAGGCTATTGCAGAACAGATAGATCCACGGTCAATTG